TGGCCTGTCTGTGTGGGTAAGCACAGTTTTTTGATAGGAAGCAACTGAGAGAACAAACTTTTTAATATCCCTTTAGTGTTCCTTTAATTCCCCTTTTATGTTTATAGTATTTTCCCTTTAGTTTCCCTTTTTACTAACCAATATCATGTTATCCATAATATTGTGTTAAGATCGTTTTTTGGTATCCCTTTTCACTAGTTAATACTGTATTAAATGCTGTTTGTAGTATTTGTTTTAATGCCACCCGATAAGGTAGCTATTTTGTATCCTTTTTTTAGGTTTTAATTCCTCTTGCTAAGTTTATTACTATTATTTTTATTCTCACTGTAATAAAAGATATTTTGTGTGTTTGAATATTTCTGGCACTTGTCTTTATTCCGGACATGTATCCAAACGAACTGTTACAGAAGGCTCCAGGCAGCAGACGCAAAACTGTTGGTGCCACATGCTCCTGAAGATCACCAAGGATCAGAAGGCAAGAGAGCCTAAACTTGAAGCTGTTACCATCACTTGTTCCATTTTCCCTGCTTCTCATCCTCTATGGGCTCTGTACCTCTGTTGGATTTCTGTAATGACCAACAAACAGTGTCTGCCTCATGGGCAGAAGACAGGGAGGAGAGGTACTCTCTTCTTACCCCCTTGTCCAGGTACAGCGGGTGCTTGCAGTGTGGTCTTCTTGGTCACAAGGAGTATCCCAGGCAGCAGAGCAGGCAGAGCAAGGCAGGAGACAGAGCAGTGAGGATCCTGGTGCAGTGATCTTGGGAATAGAGTATAGCCTGTGTTGTCCCCCACATGTGAGGAGAAGTAGGGACAGTTGCTGCGTCAGGCTTCAAGGCTCAATAATGCCCCCTATCTGCAATAAGGGCTAGATGCACCAATTTCTCTTGCTATAGCTTTATTTGGGCTGTGTATTTTATCAGCCCGTAATATACAGGCTTTCCATTCCAACAACAAAGAACCAAAATACCTTATGCCCTTGTTATTGCTGTTGCCAGAGGGATGATATTGAGCATAGGAGAGTACAGTACAGTAGTACTGAGGAAGTACAGCTGATCTTCTGAAAAAACTTTTGCTCAGACTTTCAATATCGTCATCATTTCACCATGCTTTTTTCTACTGTTGACAGACTTGTCCTGCTCACGGAGAATATGGCTGAAAGACCATTTCCCCAATCCTTATTATGTCATCCCCTTTTGAATCCTCTCTTTTGCCCATTCAGTTACTTAATTCCTCCTATCTTCCCCTGCCTAAGCCCTTAGCATTTGTCTGCTATCTAGATGCTGACTCTAGATGCTTCCTTATGTTTTTCCATGAGGAAATAATGCCAGCTCCAGTAATCATTTCTGAGGAAGCTTGGTGTAAGCATGTACAAATTTTAAGAACTTAGGAGAAGACATCTAGTCCCTTATATCTCCAAGTGTGGCTGTAAGTGGTCAATTAAAGAAGTGTTAAAATGAGGCATGCCTGTTCCCTAGCACCGTCCCAGCTTCCAACAATGTTGAGAGAATTTCCTGAGCTTGACGTCATTTAATAACCCCCAAAAGGTCTCTTCTTAGGATATTTTTTCTGGTCTTCTGTTGGGACTGTGCAAATTTCTGGCATCTGCAGCCTCTTCTATTAAGGAATTCCACAGGTTTACAGCCTGTTGTGTCAAAACCACCTTGTTTCAAACATAAACAAATCATCAAATTAGATGTGCCTTAATGGGAAGGTATTTGGATCAATACCTATCCATCTATTCCATGATGCATATGCTTTTGTAGACATCTATTATATCTTCCCCCTAAATTGTATCTAGTTCCACATTTAATATGCAAGGCATAGAAGAATAACCGTAAATCAGACACTCTACTTTTAAAATAAATATGACATCCACGAGTGAATAAAATTTATCTTTTGAAGCTTGCTTCATTATAATACCATTATTTGATTTAGCCATATTGATTTTATAACCCTGCTTGGCAAGATTATGTCTGTACAGCAAGCCAAAGAGACAGACAAGATGGAACAGCACTGTCAGACCAAAACATGGGTAAACAGAAACCTGTAGTAGGGCAGAGAGCGGGACACAGAAAATTACTGTCATAATTTACAGACAAACACCACAGCCAAGTTTCTCAGCAATAACATGCTGGCATCTATGCTGCTAGATGGGTGATCTAGACAATAATCAGGCTGTGATAATATTCCTGTGCTAATAAATATTTCACAAGCTGCTGGTAGGGTCAGAAATTGATTTACAGATCAAAGTACAAAGTCATGTGAAGGAATTCAAATTATTTCTACCAAAAGATCAAAAAAGGACGTATTATTTTTTAGACAGTTTGAATAAATAATTTGTTGTTATCATATAGAAAATATTGTTTATTGAAGGTAAAGTGTGTGCCTTTTTAAAATCCTGTTTTCTGAAGTTTTGAAGGTTTAGAATTCAAAAGCAAGTGAGAAAAAATGAAAGACTGATTACAAGTTCTGACAGGGGGACAGACCAGTAGCATGTAGAATTTGCCTTCTAAGCAGAGGGTTTACTACCTCTAGATGCAGTGTGAGATTTATCTATTCAAACATGAAGGCATCTGAGCAAGATACTGCAGAGCACTATTCCTGAATCATGTAGGATGAGAAACAGCTAAATGTAATGGTGCAGTTCATGTGACCAAGTGTAGATGTCCTCTTCAAAATGAGATGAATCATTTCCACACTGTGGGTGTCCAGAGTTTACACATGAATCCCACTCACTATCTCTTATATTACAGCTTGTCCCAGCTTAGCCATCTCCCTAAGGGTGACTATGTGCTGTCCTTGTTCTAGTCAGTTCTCAGTCACTTGGGATTTGCTGCATTTTAATCTGGTAGCTTTAACATCAGTTGTGCTACCATGACTCCTTCATGCAGTTCCCCAGGCTGAATTTATGGAAAGGACGCAGCTTCTCTGATAACGTTGTCAGGGAGCAGAAGGACTGGGAAGTACTTGTGGAGCGTTTCTTGCCTTCAGCCAAGGCTGTGACCCTAATTCATGTGGTCTTTACCTTATCAACCCAGTCTGGGAATCACATGGAGCAGTGGCTTAGGGGTGGTGTGGCCCTCGCACAGACCAGCTACTCCTTGTGGTGTCAGGGATGCTCTCGCTAGGCCAGACTGGAGTTAGTGCTGCCACAGCTCTGCAGTGCTGCTGGCTGTCTGTGTGAGCAGAAGTCACACCTTTGGTGAGAGCAGCCATGCCTTTGCAGATGCTCCCAGTGAGACAAGACTGTAGGGTTGGCAATGGGAATGGGCAGGTGGCAGATAAGCTGTGACAGTGGGTCTTAGCACTTAGGATTTTGGTGGTAAAGTGAAGTGAGATGCTGGATGATAGTGAAAAGTGGCAACTGGCAACGCAGTCTGGCTGTGGCTGCTGGCACTGAAATGAGGTTTTGGCAGAAACAGGAGGCTCTGCGCTTCCTGGAAAGAAAAAGTGACTCTTAGCAGTAAGGTGTGATACTGTTGCTGACATCAGTGAAGTATTTTTTGCTGCAATGCACATCTCCTTGATACTGGGTCTCTTCTGGGGTTGTTTAGAGTAGAACAGACATTTCAGTTTCAATGAACATCTAGTCCAACTGCCTGATCACTTCAGGGCTGACCAAAAGTTAAAGCATGTTATGAAGGACATTGTCCAAACACCTCTAAACACTGTCAGGCTTGGAGCATCGACCTCCTCTCTAGGAAACCTCTTCCAGTGTTTGACCATTCTCCTGGTAAGAAATGCTTCCTAATGTCCAGTCTAACCCTCCCCTGGTGTAGCTGTGAACAGTTCACATGGGATCTATCACCAGATACCAGGGAGAAGGGATCAGCATCCCTTCTCCACATACCCTCCTCAGTAGCAATGAGGTCACTCCTCAGCCTGCTTTTCTCCGAATTAGACAAGCCTGAAGGTCTCAGCCACTCCTCAAAGGACATTCCTTCCAGCCTTACTGAGCCAGAGGCTCAAACATGGCTTCAAAATGGGCTAATGCTGCCATAGGAACCTGGAGGATGACTGAAGCTGTTCAAGGGCAAAGAGGTTGTGTGAGCACAAAAAGGGTTGCTCTGGTATGCAAGCTGTCTCTGCATAAATCAAGAGTAAGTAGGGAAGTCAAGGCTAAAGTAAGATAACATATTTCTGTTCAAAAAGCATATGGTATAGATGAAATGTAATCAGCTTGAATGAAAAGGGCTGAAGGGAGTCTTGGGACTATCTAGATTAATAGGATGAGCAAATACCACATTGTGTCAAAACTGCCTAGATAACAGTGTTAGAAATATCAAATTTGGATGTGGATGTAGCAGAATTGGCACTAATGAGGAAAAAATAATTAGAGGCAGGTCATTAAATAGGTCCCATTTTTGTGGGAGCACTCTAGGCAGAGAAAGAGAGATGCAAGGTTGTTGACAAGGTGGGCTTAGGAAAATAAACACTAGGAATTAAAATAATTAAATAGGAAAAAACCCCAGGAAATAATTTAAAAATAGGCATTCGGTATAATTCTGTGGAGAACAAAGAGGCGTGGGATATTCTGGTTGTAGAAATGTGGATACCTCCAGTGGTAAAGCTGACCTATGGGTGGTGGACAACACACTTGGGACAACCTGCTGGACTCTAATCAGGTCTATGTCCAAAAGACTTGGCATGCAAGGGTGGGCTGAGAAGGGATGGGCTTATGCCCTAATACTAAGTGTAGAAGGGAAGGCAATAGAATTGTAATGTGATAGAGCTTGCATGTGATTTAATTGATTTCTTCACAGTAATTGTCACTTAGTACTAGAGGTAACAGGCAATATCACTGGAACTCGGAATTGCTGTGCTCATAGTGATACAGTTGTGAATGAGTCCTGCTAATATTAGACATTTGTTCATTAGCCAATTAAGGTAGTATCAGTCTCTTGTGTTAGTCAGTTACAGGTAAGGTCTCCAGTCTAAGAGAGAAGAGTCAGACACATAAGATACCATGATCATTATTTTAAAAGCTATTTTGTATGCAGAAAGCTAAAACCATTTCATTTCCCCCAAATATGCCAAGTGATTATTCACAACAATGAAGAAAATGAAACAGGGAGAACTTTGGTGTCCTGTGATGTGGTCCTAGTGCTTTCATTCTGCTGTCATTATGACACCGATCACTGTGGAGTCAAGAGAGCTTGCAGTGGTGCTATGTGGAGTCCAAACGTGGAAGTTTTGTGGGGGCTCAATACTGTGGCTGAAGACAGTGAGACACAAGTGCTGAAATGCTTCCGTAGCAGAGACTGCAGCTGCATATAGATTGCTTGTGGCAGGAAATGCATCCATGTTAAAAAGGTTGGCATGATAGTGCATGGGACCTGGAGATGGAATGACCAGTGTGAGACTAAAGACACATTCAACCTATTGAAGGTATAGAAACTAATACCAAGGGGAAAACAAAAAAAAAAAAAAGCCAACAAGAAAACAGCGTCTTAAAAATCTATTTGAATTTAATTTTGGCAGATTGTATGGATTCAGAGGAGTCTAAAGACATAAATGCATTGGGTATTTGTTCTGGTTTTGGCTGGGGTAGTCTGAATTATCTTCACAGTACCTAGTATAGGGCCCTGGTTTGTATTT